TCTTCGGCTGTGCGTCCTGCGTCATCAACCCGGAACTAAAGTTCGATTCGGTTCGATTTGTGAACAGGTGTTCTGACAAATAATGCTATTTGTCAGATTATGCTACCAACACTGTATTTATCCTACTGTAAGGGTAGGTTTAGGGTTGGGGTAGGTGTACATGTTAATAAAGCCTCACACGTTATTAACCGGTTACTTCCTGAGAACCGGCTCAAAAGAACGATTCGTTCAAGAACCTAACATCACTAGCATGAACACAAAAACTTAATCTCCAGAGCTGCTGTGAGAGTCACTTCGCGAGAATTTTACAGTTTCGTTTGAGAAAACTAGCATCATCATACTGTATAACTTCATGGCCTTCATGGCAACCTGTCAAAATAAAAGTACGGTTTAACATGTAAAATAAATATATTACTATTTTGTAAAGTTTGTAAAGTATAATGTACATCTTTAAATATTCAATTTTCTATCAAATTTAAATAAAACAATTAAATGATAAAAATAAATATTACAACTAGATTAATCACTTAATTGTAGAAAAAAAATAATACAATTATTAGACTATTTAAAAAAGTTTTAAAGGAATATTCACACAATTTTTCTTCCATGTATTAATTTCAACCGGTTTTAAAGGAATCAATTTTTAATTTTTCTTCCATGTATTAATTTCAACCGTAAACCTCAGTTTGTTTGCCAAAAAATAAAAATTTTCATTAAGAAAAAAAAGTTTGTAGGGCCCTATTGTTCAAAATGTTGAAATTGAGACTTCTGGACTTATTTTTTCACTGAAATAAATGTTTTTGTAATTACACAGAGAGTAAAGTACCGAAAAAAGGTACCGTCGGGTACCGGCACCGAAATTCAGGTACCGATACCGGTACCGTACCGGCTAAAATGTGAACGGTACCCAACCCTAGTTATTGGTGTCACTGGTTTATGGTGCACTAATTTTCGTGCACTGTAGCTTGTTGTTAGAAGCAATTAATAGATACTTATAAGGACTATAATAAGGATTATGATATATGCTGTTCAATATAGTGACTCATCCATTTTCTTAAAAATGGTTTAAAGGCTGAAATGTAAAGTTTGTCATTTTATAAAACTTTTTGTTTTTGCGAAAACTTGTATCTGAGCTGTAAATTATGCTTTTCTACAGTAATTTTACAGATTAATATGGTACTATAGACATTGCTCTACCCCGCTCATATGGTATCAGATTACTTTTTTCAAGTAACTAGTAAAGTAACGCATTACTTTTTAATTTACAAGAGAATATCTGAGTTACTTTTTTTTTTCAATTTATTGATTGACAGCTCTTCTGTCCCCATGTTGAGAGAAATCAGAAGATGTTACTGTAGATCTAAAATAAATATGAATATGCATTAATTCATCTCACTCACAAAAAAAAAACACACAGATTCAGTATTCCTCAAAATGACTAAAAATAATGTAACTCAGAATATGACGCGAACCTGCAATAATTAAATGTTAAACAACACAAATATCCTTTATGTATTTAATCCCATTCTATTAACCAATGTCTTTGCTTCTGACCTTCGATGATCCAGTTCATACTAATAAGCAAAAATTACTCTAGACAAACATTTGTGTGTCTTTTTTTATTGCTGAAGTGTGTTGAAATGTATTCTTCTGCATTCTACTGTATGGACGTAAATTTACTTTCCCTTCCGCCTGAGGCTTATTCATTTCACTTTTGGTGTGAAAAGGCTTTTATATTTGCCAAAAATATAACTTTTTTATTTTAAAAACAAACAAGCAAGCCCTGTCCAGATTTAAAAAGTAATGCAAAAGTAACGTAACGCATTACTTTCCATAAAAAGTAACGAAGTAACGTAATTAGTTACTTTTTTATGGAGTAACGCAATATTGTAAAGTTACTTTTTTAATGGAGTAACGCAATATTGTAATGCATTACTTTTAAAAGTAACTTTCCCCAACACTGGTGACCAGTCATATAAAAACATAAAAGCAGGCACTATTTGTACAATTTCAGTAAAGTACACTTTCAAAAGGTACTTATAGAGTAGCCTATGTACTATTTAAGTACTTTAATGTACACTTTAGGTACTAATATGTACCTTTAAGGTACCAATATGCACTGTTTAGGAGTAAATTAGTTACAAAAGTGTACCTTTTGAAAAGATGTCGCACCAGTGACATGAGTGTAGCTTTTCATATTGATAAAAAATACAAAGTAAAAACATATTAAATCGCTGAGACCTATTGAAAGCTAATAAAGCATATTTTACAGTGAAAACTGTAATGTTGTAAACTATTATTACAAGTTCAAATAACTGTTTTCTATTTAAATATATATTTTCAAATGAAATTTATTCATGTGATGGCAAAGTCTTCAGTGTCACATGATGCTTCAGAAATCATTCTAATATGCAGATTTGCTGCTCAAGAAAAAAAAAATTGTGATTATTGTCATCAATATTCAGAACAATTGTGCTGCTTAATATTTTTGTGGAAACCGTGACACGTTTTTTTCAGGATTCTTTGATTAATATAAAGTTCAAACGATCAGCATTTATTTGAAATAAAAATATTTTGATCAATCTAATGTATCCTTGCTGAATAAAAATAATTTATTTAAAAAGAAAAATCTGACTGACCCCAAACTTTGGAATGGTTGCCTATTATTACGGTGGCCGAGAAGTGCAAAACAAATCACAATTCTGAAAACAAAATAACAAATTACAAACGCAAATGCAAGTCTAAAAAACAAAATAACAATTCAGAAAGCACAACAACAATTCAGAAAACATTATAACAAGTCAGAAAACACAATGACAAATTCGAAAACAAAATAACAAGTCAGAAAACACAACGACAAATCCAAACGTGGTAGAAAGTTCGGAGATGGTATTAAAGTAGCTCAGTTTAAATGTATTGTATGAATTGCCCTTACTATGGAATAAAAAATACGGAGTGTCTATTTATATTTAGTTAAAAGTGGCTGTAAAACATCAGCTCCAGTGGTGCAGACGGATAAGCGCGTGTTGTTGGCTTCTTGACGCGATCGACCATGGTTTGATCTCGCCTTTTGCCGAACTTTTTTTTTCTCCCTTTTCAGCCAGTCAGAGATATTATTAGAAATCTTTGCTCTACGCCATAGAGTGTGTTTTTGGCGAATAAGCTCTGACAAATCTGGACTAAACCAAGGGCTAAGACGATTTTTTACTCTAATCTTTTTAAGAGGAGCATGTTTGTTCAAAACAGTTCTGAACAAGAATTTAAAATATGCCCATGCCTCTTCAACTTCAGGAATAAGCCCAATTCTGTACCAGTCCATATCAGCCAGGTCATTCAAGAAAGCCTGTTCATTAAATAATGCTTTTTTAAAGATCATTATTTTGTGTATATGGTGTAACATAATATGTTGACATGCTTTAATGTTCAAAAAACACATTATTTTTCAAATACTGTACATTATTGTAGGTCC